TAGAGTCAGTCACTTATCTGAAATATTATAGGTGCTCCTACTCGAGCCAGGAGCTGGACTAGAAGACCCTTCCAGCTCATTTGTTCTAGTGTCCCAAAAGTTGTGTAGCTCAGCATTGGGCCCAAATTAAGGCCAGTTTTGGATCAAAGAGTTAAGGCCAGGTAGTCAGCAGAATCAAGGGGAAATTGGCTTCCTTTGGACATTGGGTGTAGACAGATAATCCTTGACGTTCAGCTATTTTTTAGTGACCACTCAAGGTTACAACAGGACCAGAAAAAGTGACTTATGACTGTTTCTCACACTTACAACCACTGCGGCATCCCCATGGCTCATATTTATGATGGTTGCCATGTCCCAGAGACATGTGATCCCCTTTTGCGACCTTCTGACAAGCAAATTCAACGGGGGAAGCCGGATTCCCTTAACAACCGCATTACTAATGTAACAATTGCAGGGATTCACTTAACAACTGTGGCAAGGAAGGCCGTAAAAAGGGGCAAAACTAACTTAGGAACCGTCTCACTTAGCAGCAGAAATGTTGGGCTTAGTTATGGTCATAGGTTATGAGTTATGGCCATAATGCAGCCTCCCAAACATGGTTATAACTTGTGGTGGTAGTCCATTAGGTTACCCATGTGACAAATCCAGTTTTACGACTTTTTGTGATGGTCATTAAGTGAAGGCTATGGTTGGTAACTGAAGTGATAGTTCAGTATGGGCCAGGCTTTGCTGAAAACCAGAAGTAAATGCTGCTTTTCAGCGAAACGGTCATGAAACACAGGTGACTGTGGGATCCTAACCCATCTGAGGTGACCATGGAATGGGTGGTGGTGGTGGCGGCTGGAGCACTGCATCTGGATCATAAATACCCTCAGGTAGCTCTGTCACAACTCTGAACAATCTCTAAGCAACCGTAAGCTGAGGACTACCTTTATACGAATGGGGAAAAAAACATTTTTCATCAACGAGAGGTGTAAGTAACACATTATCAGGTGTCTTTATGTCCTTCTAATATTGCTTTTCTCTTCTTTTTCATGTCCCCCCCCCACCTCCGTTCCTGTTCTGCAATCATGAAAGAGGTCAGCACACAAGGTAAGAGATTCATGAATGTTGCACCTTCTGCCTGTCTTTTTACCTTCCCTGTTTTTCTCCTGGCTAATTGAACTCTGCCCTCCCGTCTTCAAAACCCCATTTGCTTCTGTTTCTAAAAATTGTGGTTTAATGATCATACGTCTTTCTATGCAAATCCTTGATTCTGCGACCTTTTTCAAAATGGGAGTCACATGATTCTTGGCCTTCAAGATTGAAGTGACAAAGGTGCACGTGCTTACCTTTTCAGCAAGAAAAACAGGAAGGCACTGTTAAAATAAAGACCAGAGATTTCCTAGCTGTTGATTATTTTTCATATTAACTTCTCCTGGAACAGAAGCATATTCTTAATTTATCCCGTGGCTGTACTTGGCAGCCAACAATGAATGACGCAATATCATGAATTCTAGAATGGATTCCTCCCCTCCCCCACTCATGAAAATGTCATCTGTCTGCAGCGTGTGGAGTGCCTGCCCTGGGACGGATCGTGGGTGGTTCTGACACTCGAAGTGGACAGTGGCCATGGCAGGCCAGCCTGGACTTCAATGGTCATCATGCATGTGGGGCAACCCTCATTGCCCCCCAGTGGTTGGTTTCAGCTGCACATTGCTTCCCCAAGTAAGTCAAGCATCCCTCAAAGTTTGATTAGTGGTAAGGGCATCAGGCTAGAAACCAGGAGACTGTGAGTTCTAGTCCCGTCTTAGGCATGAAAGCTGGCTGGGTGACTTTGAGCCAATCTCTAGAAGGCTGTGAGTTCTAGTCCCACCTCCGGTTTGAAAGCTGGCTCTTTGGGCCAATTTCTAGGAGACTTGAGAGTTCTAGTCTTGCCTTAAGCATGAAATTTGGCTGTGTGACTTTGGGCCAATCTCTAGGAGACTGAGTTTTAGTCGCGCCTGGGGTTTGAAAGTTAACTAGGTGACTTTGGGCCAGTCATTCCCTCTTAGCCCAACCCACCTCAAAGCGTAGTTGTGAGCAAAGAAGTAGTAAGAAAGCACTGGTAGTCCACGACTTAACAACAGTTTGTTTCGTGACCATTCAAAGTTACAATGGCATTGTAAGAAGTCACCATTTTTCACACTTAGAACAGTTGCGGCATCCCCGTGGTCACATGATTAAAATTCAGATATTTAGAAACTGGTTCATATTTATGACTGTTTTTGTGTCCTGCTGTCATGTGATCGCCTTTTACGTCCTTTCTGACAAGCAAAGTCAATGGGGAAGCCAGAATCACTTAACAACTGGGTTACTAAGTTAACAACTGCAGTCTTTCAGGTAAAAAAGAAAAGTCGTAACATGGCCCAAAACTCGCTTAGCCCACGTCTCAACATAAATTTGGGGCTCAGTTGTGGTCGTAAGTTGAGCACTATCTGTATGTTCATCACCTTGAGCTATTTGTAAAAATAATAAAGCGGGGATTTAAAAAAAATCTAAAAAAAATATGTGGGTATTAGGAAACAAACCCCTGTGCTGTTAGTTTCTTTATAGAAAAAGTTTCAAGGCTTCTGGGTTCAGACTCCCAGAGCTTGATAATATAGATACAGATTAACAGAGTTGGAAGGGAACTTATAGATCATCTAGTTCAACCCCCCGCCCAAGCAGACCCTACACCATTTTTGATAGATGGCAGTCCAGTCTCTTCTTGAAAGCTTCCAGCGGAAACGGATGTGGCATTGTGGCGTTTGTAGGAAGCAAATTACTAGGAGATTTCAACTCTCTATAAGTATGCCTTCATCTTAGTCATCGCAAGTCCTGCTGTTAACCATTGAGAGTTTCCAAACTCTTTGGATATACAGATTGGTCCTTGAGTTATGACCACAACAGAGCCCCAAAATTTCTGTTACTAGGTGAGATGTTTCTTAAGTGATTTTTGATCCCTCTTATGACCTTTCCTGCCAGAACTGTTAAGGGAATCACTGCAGTTTGTTAACTTAGCTCACAAGGTTGTTAAGTGAATCTGGCTTCCCCATTGACTTTGCTTGTCAGAAGGTCGCAAAAGGGGATCACATGTCATTGGGACACTGCAACCATTGTAAACATGAGTCAGTTGCCAAGCATCCCAATTCTGATCATGGTTACTAATGGGGATGCTGCACTGGTCGTAAGTGTGAAAAATGGTAACAAGTAGCTTTTTCAGTGACGTTGTAACTTCGAATGGTCACTAAATGAACAGTTTTAAGTTGAAGACTACCTGTACAGTCAGTTTATGGCTATGTGTCATACTAGCTTAATGCTATCTTACATTAGATTAAGACAGTGGTCTCCAAACTTGGCAACTTTAAGACTTGTGGACCTCAATTCCCAGAATTCTCCAGCTAGCAAAGCAAAGCAAAGCTGGCTGGATAATTCTGGGAATTGAAGGCCCCAAGTCTTAAAGTTGCCAAGTTTGGAGACTCCTGCATTAAGATGTAGGCTATATTTAAACGTTGGGGGGAGGGAAACTCAGGTGGATTATGATTGCCTTCTTGCCATGCTTGGGTGCTTCCAAGGAAAATCTGTTTGGTCCATGCTGGGAAGAGAAGAGTGGGACTGGATGCATTTGGATGATCTTACAGTCTTAGGATCTCAGAAATGACCTTCCTCCTCTCCTCAGGGTGAATGAAATCGCATTGTATGACGTGATCCTGGGGTCCTACCAGCTGAAAAACCCCTCGCTAGACGTCAAAGTGATGCAAATAGACCAAGTGATTAAGCATCCTGATTTCAATGAAGAAGAAGGCTCTCAAGGAGATGTAGCCCTGGTGAAACTCAAAGCCCCGGTTCTGTATTCTCGGACTGTACGGCCGATCTGCCTGCCTGACTCTTCGGTCAGCTTTCCGGAAGGCATGACATGCACCGTCACCGGCTGGGGAAACATCCGTGAAACTAGTAAGATTTTCATCTATAGATTTCATCTAGGGCTGCCATCCCTATTCTTTTCCAAATCCTAAGCGGCCTCGAATGAATTAATTAATGAATTATTGGCCAAGCGTGATTAGACACACAAGGGATTCGTCTTGGTGCATATGCTGTCAGTGTACATAAAAGGAAAAGATACATTCATCAAGAATCATAAGGTACAACACTTAATAATAGTCATAGGGTACAAATAAGCAATCAAATCATACTAGGAAACAATTAATATAAATTGTAAGGATAGAAGCAACAAAGTTACAAGTGGGAGGGGATGGATGATAGGAATGATGAGAAGATTAATAGTAATAGTAGTGCAGACCTAGTAAATAGTTGGACAGTGTTGAGGGAATTGTTTGTTTAGCAGAATGATGGCATTCGGACAAAAACTGTCCTTGAGTCTAGTTGTTCTGGTGTGCAGTTCTCTATAGCATCGTTTTGAGGGTAGGAGTTGAAACAGTTTGTGTCCTGGAGGTGAGGAGTCTGTAAATATTTTCACAGCCCTCTTTTTGACTCGTGCAGTATACAAGTCTTCGAAGGAAGGCAGGTTGGTCGTAATTATTTTTTCTGCGGTCCTAATTATCCTCTGAAGTCTGTGTCTGTCCTGTTGGGTTGCAAAACCAAACCAGACAGTTATAGAGGTGCAGGTTGCTGTTGGTATTATAAATCCCAGAAATTCTCATCAACTAGCCGGATAAATGTGGCACTTGTGGCTTCAGTTGTACCCAAAGGATGACATGCTTTTTTATTTTCTGATTTAAAGTATGCAAGGATGCTGATATATACGAAATGGTGAACCATTTCTGTACAGGTAGTCCTCAACTTACAACAGCTTACTCAGTGACTATTCAAAGTTAACAATGGCATTGAAAAAAAGTGACTTATGACCTTTTTCACATTTATGAAAATTTTTCACACTTATGAGATAAGTGAGCAAAGAAATGAAACAACAGACTTTGATATTCTGAAAATCCATAACTGGCCTTTATTAAGATAGATACTGCAGTATCGTTCACCTTTAACCCAAACCGAACACAGTATGAGGAAAAGGGACACCCCTTCCAGTAAAAACCACATTATATACCCATAAATGGTTACATAAATGGTTATACAACGCTTCCTGTTTTTCACATAAAAATTACAGAGAATCCCATAGGAAAGTTGTGGGTTTTTTTACATAACTTCCCCCACTTGCCAGTGGAAATTCCCAACATTCTTCATTTCATCATTTATCTCCAGATATCCTGTTTTGCAAATAACAGAAGATTTACACAAGTGATCATTAATATCTATCAATTTGACTTATGTCAGAGCACCCTAGTACATATCTTCGACTTAAGCCAAGGACAAGTTTTGCAATCCTGTATAATTTTTAACAGAAAAACATATTGCATAAATGTTCTGATCTTTAAAAGTTCAGGCTGCAAACACAAAATGGCTTCAGTTCGGCTCTTTATATTCTCAGGTGTAATGGGCCAAATTTCCATATATAACAATCCACCATTTTTTCTTTTTAATCAATTTACACCTGAGAATTTCCATCAAGTTCTTGCAACATAAGCCTAACTTCCTGCTGACTAAAACTTTTATGCTTTACTTCAGTTTTCTTAGGCTTACAACAGCGGAAACACAATTCACACAGTGGTAAACATTTAACACAAATACATGAAATAAGCACTATTGCAATGATTATAACAATACCAAGAAATATCTCTTTTATCCAGGCAAAATCGGGCAACCAGGAAGTTAATACATGCCATATGTGTCTTAAAGCATTACTATTCATAACATAAGTTAAATGGGTAGTTATATTATGTAAAACTTTCAGCTTAGACTCAATAAATTGTGACTTGTCTTGAATATCGAAACAACACATTCTGTTGAACTCCTCACATCCGTGACCCATTCTAAGAAGTATATAATCAATCGCCACACGGTTCTGTAGCACAGACTTCCTTATTTCTCCCATCTCATCAGCTAGGGCTGCAATAGCAGAGGAAGTGACATTAATACTTTTAGCCAAAGCACTACCTAAATGTCCCAACTGCAAATTATTGTAATATGTAGCTCCCCAAGCAAATATTCCCAAAACACCTGCTTCTACTTTAGACAATACTACTACTTCATCATCACAATCTGAAGAATAAGCGTCACTAAGAGCTGATCTTTTCCCTCTATATTTCTTCACGTGTTCTCCTACAGACTCATGTTCAGCTCCCCACCAGGCCACTGGCCATCTAACTGTAGGATAAGCATGTATAATATGAGGTTCTTTATAGCAATCGCAATAGCACTTAGACTTATATACTGCTTTATAGTGCTTTACAGCCCCCTCTAAGCGGTTTACTGAATCAGTATATGGCCTCCAACAATCTGGGTCCTCATTTTACCCACCTCGGAAGGATGAGTCAACCTTGAGCCTGGTGGGATTCGAACTGCCAAATTGTAGGCAGCTGGCTGTCAGCAGAAGTAGCCTGCAGTACTGCAATCTAACCACTGCGCCACTGAGGCTCCTTTATTGCTCTTTATTGTTAGAAGTATCCTCATGTTCTTGAACGTGGACATGTTCATGTTCCTCTCTTACTACCGTATCATCTGGCACAGGTTCCCTATAAAACCTAGGATCATGATATAGATTAGAATTCATAACTTCATAGTATAACTTAGTGTCTTTGTTTATATTCTTAGCATGAGCAGTTGCCATAACAGTCATTAAACGGCCAATCATACAAGGTCCACCTTTTGCGTTAGCTGGTATAAATGCATATGCACCACAAAACATAAACCAACCTCTAGGTAAATACAACACATGTGTCATTCCATCTACTTCTTCAACCTCTGTACAATGAAAAACCTCTTCAGTAGGCAAATAATTAAAAATGGTTTTTTCATGCTTTTTTTCTGGATGCTTATACTTAACACAATCATAAGCTGGAAAAACTGCCTTAACTTCAATAACCAGCTTTTTCTGATTTGTCCATTTAGTTGGCTTCACAGGAGATCCAAACAAAGTAATCACTTTTGACAAATTATATAAGGTATAAGTATCAGGATGTATAACAATCCTAGATTCACCCACCAAAAATTTTCCTGGCACTGGAACTCCTATCAAACAAGTAGACATGATGTCTATAACTGTAGTCTCCCCCTTTACACAAAAAGAAGAACTGTTCAAAGCTACTCTCATTAATTCCAAAAAAACATTTTCACTTTTAACAACAGGCTCTTTTCCTTTAATATGTCTTACACTTCTACTTAAAACTCTTGGAGCTTCAAGATATCCCACTGTACATCTACCTCTCCAGGTAAATGGGAGTTTTGCAATGGCTAAACTGCCACACAAAAACATTAACTTCTTCGGAGCACTTCTCAATTCAATGAATGGCATAAATAATATCTCTTCCAGAGCTCTAAGTCTCATATAGGAAGGAGAATAATTGCCATACATTTCAAAACAATGATCATATAATTGCTCCATCCTCTTAGACAAATCCTTATGATTAATGGCAATGTCATATGTGCGGTTACATGTCAGGTATTTTCCCAAATACAAACCATCATCTAAGGTGGATCTTATACAGATTCCAGCCTCAGCCATAGGTTCCATTGATGTCAGTGATATCTGCCCTTCGTATGCTGACTGTCGGGTTCAGTTTGGAAACATAACAGTTGCCACGTTAAGGGATAACCAGGCAATATTTCAGAAGCCTCCATTCCTACCCCACACAAGGCAATAATCACTATCAACATCATTTTGACAAATGGGCTAGGTCCCCACCCACCTTAATGTATGTAGTTTTATACTTCAAAACTTACAACCAGTCAGGGACTTACATCCAATTCTTTATCTTCTGCACTCAAATGACACAATACCTGTGTACACCAATCTATTCTTTCATGTCTTAAAATAATCAACAATACAAGAAAAAAATGCATTACACTCAACCAAATAACCAACACCTCCTCCCAAAGTTCCATAAACCTAAACTGAACTAGACATAGACTCACTATCCCCACTATCTAAAAAAAATAAAGAGTCCAGTCTTTTAAAACTTGCTTCAGCCAGAGACAGGAGCCGGATCCACAGGTCCCTTCATACATGAATGATGTGTCCAACCTCGCTCATGTGTCCTCACAGCTGATTCAGTAGTCAACAGTACCTGGAACGGTCCTTCCCAAATAGGCCTCAGCTTCCCAAAGCTCTCCACTGCTTTATCAGGACCCAGTCTCTACTCTTAAAATTATGCGCTCGGAAATCAAACGGTGGTGTTTGTGCCAAAAGTCCTTTGGACCTTAAAAGAGAAAAACACTGGGACAAACCTTGTATATATTTTCTAAGAAAAATATCTTTAAGTTCTATTCTAGACATACTCACACTTCCAGTATAAGGTATTCCAAACATTATTTCATATGGTGAAATTCCCATATCCGTTCTAGGACAAGTACGCACTCTCTATAGAGCTAGAAGTAAACATTTCGTCCAGGGTAATTGAAGTTCTAACATCAGTTTCTTTAAGGTGTTTTTATAGTTTGGTTCATTCGCTCCACCTTACCTGAAGACGTGGTGTATCCAGACAGGTGAAGCTGCCAATCTATTCCCAATTCCTTCATAATTCCCTTTACCACATGAGAAGTAAAATGTGTACCTCTATTATTATCAATGGATTCAACTAATCCATATCTGGGTATTATAAGGGGGAAAGGGGTCAGTATATTGTACATGAAACCAAGGCATAACATAACTCAGCTGAGAATCTAACTTCTTTTTAGTCAAAACAGCTTTCAAGGCATTGATCCAGTACACATCTGATTCTCCAAATCGCGACCATCTGTAATTTGGAAGTTTTAAAATATGATTTGGCCATTCCACTGTGCAATATTCAATCATCTGTATCTTATCTAGGGGCGTCATATATTTAATTAACCAAGCCTCATTCCACTGATTAATCAGCTCTCCAAGAGGAGAGTATGCTGGA